CTGGCCTAGAAAAGTCAGGCTCTTCCAGCTTCCACTTCCAAAGCAGTTTTCATCCACCTGATCATTCTTGCTGTTCTTCTGTGCATCCTTCCTGACCAAATTTAGGTCACCAACAATGCACACAGCATTCCTGATGAGGCCTCACAGAATTAACATTTCCCAGGTGGTGCTGAACATGCTTGTTCTGACATTTTCAAAGACCTGCACCTTAATTTTTAAGGCTGCTTGACTATGGTGGTTCAGTGACACTGGCACTGGCTGAATGAAGGACAGGGAGCTGCTGGAGCCAGTCCAGAGCAGGGACACCGAGGGGATCAGAGGGATGGAGCAGCTCTGCTGGAAGGAAAGGCCGAGAGAGTTGGGATTGTTCACCTGGAGAAGAGAAGGCTTTGGGGTGACCTCACTGTGGCCTTGCAGTGCCTGAAGGGAGCCCACAGGAAAGATGGAGAGAGACTCTTGACAAGGGCCTGGAGTGACAGGACAAGGGGGAATGGCTTCACACTGACAGAGAGCAGGGTTAGATTGGATATGAGGAAGAAATTGTTCCCTGTGAGTGTGGTGAGGCCCTGGCATAGGTTTCCCAGAGGAGCTGTGGCTGCCCCATCCCTGGAGATATTCAAGACCAGGCTGCATGAGGCTCTGAGCAATCAAGGTGTCCCTGTCYATGACAAGGGGCTGAAACARGATGGTCTTCAAGSTCCCTTYCAACCCTGGCCATTCTAYRGTTCTGTGATTCTAGAACTATTCCTTCTGTTCACCCTCATCTATCCCATCTTCTGTGGGACTTTTCCTAATGGCATACCAGTGCTTTTACATGAACCTTTCTGTTCAGTTTCAGAGAAGACATGACTGAGGTCAGAAGAGTTAGAGCAGGAAAGCCCCATTTTTTCAGACCTAATACTCCCTGAAATTGGAGATTCTGGAACCAGCAGATGTAGAGGCAACCTACCAGGACTGCAATGACTTTCACACAGCCCTAACAGCAAAAAAATGTGGAAGGTGCAGAGCTTGCCTCCAGATCTACCTCTGCCACCCCTCTGCTGTTCTATTACTTTAGACTTGAAACTACATTTCTTCAGCTTGAAAAGCTCTGTCTCCTTGGAAAACACATCCAAGCAAGAGGAATGTAAGATGGAGAGTGGTCAGGAATCCAGAGGCAGCAAGTGCTCCATCCAGCACGAGGAATTTGGTGACCATGCATGACCCAGGCCAGCCTGGCTCCTGCTCCAGCCAGGCATGTGAGGGGGGTGTCAGGGACACAAAAATGCTGAGCACAGCACAGCAGACAGGCACCCTCCCTCACCTTATGGTGTGGCASTGGCACACCTTCCCCAGAGCTCCGGAGCAGACAGGCAAACAAAGAGACTGTGATCCAATTCTGCTTTTGCCGGGGATAAATTTGGAGTCACTTCACTGACGTCAGCGGAGTTATTCCAGAATTGCACCAGTGTAAAAGAGGGCAGCATCTGCTTTCTGAAAATGGATGCCATCAAGCTAATTGAAAACAACAGATGCATCAAGGAGCAGCAAGAAGGGATGGTAATGTTCCAGTTTTCTTGTAAAATGTTATTTCATTTTCCTCTAGAGAATGTATGAGAATAAACCAATATGTACTCTAAAAGCTAAACCTTTTGTTGGTGTAAAATTGTACACAACCTTTTAGGTGAATGGACCAATGTGYACCTACAAAACTTAAAGAGATTCAACCCAGATATCTGCACTTAYAGCCCTCTTCTTCAGGCCTGATACTTCTCACACTTATTGAAATCCAGAGTCATATCACCCACAGTCCTAARGAAACATTTATCTAACCTTGGGTAGAGAGCAGAATTGAGGCCCCTCATTTCTTTAAACAATGGCTACATTTGGTAATTAAATTGAAATTTGTGATTTATGCCACTTTTTGAGCGTCTTCTAAAATTTTATACCACTGAATAAATATCTTTATATTCATTAAGTGAAAATGAAGCCTAAGAAGGACTGAATTTTCAATGGTATTTTGTGTGAAGACAAAAGTTTCCCCTAATTCTTACCTCTAATGAACAACCAACACAGCTTCAGTATTTATGGTGACCATAGAAATCAATGAGCACTTTCCCACTGCAAATCCTTTCTTCCCTTTCACTAAGAAGAAATTTTTCATGGGAAATTTCAATTACTGCTTCAGCCCCTCTTATTAATTGACACTGCAGACAATCTGGGTATTTCCAGTGGTAAGGGTTCATCAGTGAATGCTGCAGGACTGTAAAACCCACAGCTATGAGTTTTCCAGAGTGTAAAGCCATGATGTTTGAACTCTTTGTGCTATGATGTTTGAACTCTTTGTGCCAGACAGATTCCCTGGAGCAAGAGGAAAACCCACCCAAACAGGGGAAAGCATATGGAATGAACACGTACAAACAGCATATGCTACACTGTTAATTAGCACAGTCCCTGTCTGCTTTCCCAACACCATTTTTTTTGGGATTTATCTCCCTGGGTAGAGWCTTGTGTTACTTAGGACCCCACCCTGAACAAGAAGAGCTCCTTGGAACTGGGAGGCAATTTCCTCAGCCACTATCTTTGGTGGCAGCTAAGGACACGCTGCATCCCCTGGTTCCTTTCATCAGAGGATTAAGTCTCTTTTCATCCTGCCAACACCTGCTCCCCTCCCTGTGCCTAAAGCAGGTGACTGCAGCTCAGGCATTCTCCTGTGAACCTGCTGATAACATGGCTCCAAATGTCTTCAGAAGGGGATCTGTCTCGAATGCAAGCTTCAAAGAGCAACGACGAAGAGCTCAGGGCTGTGCTTTTGGACACAGCAGCACAAACAGAGCTCTCCTGTGCTCACAGAACTGCCATGGAGGGCAGTGTATCTTCTTCASCCTTAAAATTCCCCATAAATCTATCCACATCTTTCTACCACTGAGAAATAAATACATAAAATGCTGCTGCTCTTACTTCTGTCAATATAAAGTTAAAGTTAAGCTTAGCTCTGCCGAGTTTGGGAGGACTTACTTAGGCTTGAGTCAGATGAAAACKTTTGGGAAAGCTGTGGTTGACTCCTGCTGTAATCTGCAGATCTTTCCCTGATGGAAACAGGACCTCAAGAAAAGAACAAACAAAAAGAAGCAGTTTAACAAACAGTACATCTGATTTGATGCAGAAGACTGAAGTTGGAGCCCAATATAATCCAAGGTAGTTGTACTGAGTTTTGCCAGCTTGAATCAGCAGATGGTGAGGATCTGGCTCATACTATGCTTCTGTAGCTTATAGTTATCTTTCTTTCTTCACCTAGAACCAGATTCTCCCTTTAGGCYACAAATCTTAATTAGGAAATACTTCCTCATTAATTTGAAGAAACTCTTAGTTGTTAATTTCCCAGAATAAAACGAAATCTTACCTATTTCTGCTGTAGCAGCAGATGCTGGAGCTGTTTGTTCCTTTGCTTTTAGGGCTGATGCTGTTCTTTCCATCACTGTATGGAGGACACTTCAGTCCTTACCCTGTCTCTTGCTGCCTTGAATTATCTTTAAGCTCACTCTTCTTTATCTCCATAAGGACCTCTGAATGAGAGGGCCCAGGACAGAGCACCCACTCCAGTCACCTTCACCCCCTCGGCTGCTGCAGGGTTTTTTTATCCATGAAAACTGGATCAAAAGGCCTAAACAGAAAATTACTCAGGAACCCCAAGTTCCAAAGTAGGAGTAGAATAGGAATTTCATCTTGGAGGTAAATGCAGGAATCCATCAGTAAAATACCACAAAACAGGTCTTCATGCCTTTCACGCTTCCAGTCATTCATGTGGGAAAAAATATTAGTATCCTCAGTAAAATTCATCATTCCCTTCCTTYCTTCCCCACCTCCAAGGAGATGATTTCTGCTCTGTCCCACTTTGGTGCAAAACATCCTGTGGGAAAATTATCTAGGAAAACCAACTGTCACAAAGCAGCAGGGGATCAGGAAGGAGCAATAGTTTCTTCCACTGCAAAAGTATTTCCTAGCAAGATTGCTGCAAGAGGAATGTCTGTTTTTTTTAAACGCGATGTTAAGCTTGTATTCCTTATCAYCAGGCACCCAGATGACTACAGTCACGGGTCATTTGCCCCTCAGCTCCCTGAGTGTTCAGATTGTCCTTCACACGCTCTCCAGCTCTCATGTGCAAGGATGGACAAATCAAATCTCTTCCCATCTCCASGTTGCTTTCAAAGGCTGGAAACTGTCCACCTGAAGCTGGACAGGACAGCTGTACATGAGATAAGGTGATGGGATCAGCTTCAGAAAGCATCTTTAAAGATAAGGTGCTGATATCTGTACTCAAAATATCCAATGAGTGCTTTTGCTTGTAGCCACAGTCACAGCACAGAGAGAAACAGTCCGGGAGGTTGTTATGGAAACCACTCCCTGGAGGTGCCTACTTGGCTTCACAGGGATGTGCTCTACCTTCAGAACAAAACAGCTTCAGAAGGGAACGGAGAGATTTGCATTTTGAACATCCAGGGGGGAGTGTTAAGGGCTGAGAACTTGTGGTAAGGTTTCTGAAAGCATCTCTGTGATTTGGTGGCACGAGACCTCTGTAAAGTCAATGGCATAGGTGCCACTATGTCCTTTCAGTCCTGGGAAAAAAAAAATCTGAAGGATTCTTAAAAGAATGTCAGATTCCACAAGTTCTATAACATCTAGCATTACTGATGACTCTGGGACTTCCCTGCTTTTCAGGAGGTGCTTAGAGAAGGATTTACATGCCCCAAATCAGTCCCAAGGTTACACTTTCCACACTTCTGTTGRCTCTCTGTATTTTTCTTAGAGCCAATCCACAAAACCCAGGGAACAAACACCACTCCTGCTTTACACAATTTCACGTGCGCTTTCTTTTTAGAATTGAAAAATGTGGCTCACAAAAACTGCACAGAGCTRCCTCGGTCACCACAGAATTCCTTCGTACTTTGGGTATGATCTGCGAGCAGGAGACTCCAAAACCCACTAGGAACTCACTGCTGGATCTCACCTGGAAACTCACTGCTGGATTTCACGTGGAAACTCACTGCTGGATTTCACTTGAGGGCAGAACACCCCTTTCCAAGAGGATCTGTGTAAAACATGCTGGGACTGGGCTACCAGTGACTTGCCTCACATCTTTTCTTGCTGGAGTCTCCATGCCCATCTGTCGTGCTGGTCAGGAGAACAACCTGTTCTGGGCAGGGGGGGCTCCTGCCTGGCAGGGCCAACAGGGCCAGGCCCAGGGGGAGAAACGAGCACAGGAATTTTCTGACGTAGGCTCAGCATGTCTCATGACTCCTCCTGAACTTGTGTTCAACCTGAGTTTTTTATATCTTACTTTGGGGAAACTTTTATCAGCTGATAGACTCAGGCATAAAATATCCCCAAACATGGGCATTCTGCTGGGAGAGGGCAGCAGCCTCGAAACACCCCTYTTAAATAGCAGCTTCTTCTGCTAGTTTCTAGCAACATAAAAAGGGAAGGGAAGTCCCTCTCTTTGCCTCACAGTAAAGGTTTCATTAAAACGACCCCAAAACACAATTGAACACCACCAAAACTAAGATACACTAAGAAATGGATAAACTCAGTAACCTGGACAGCTCTAACACAAAATCAACAGAGGTTCCACCAGGCCCCTCAGTCACACTTATTCTCCAGGATAATTTACCCACCAGCTGATTACACATGTCAAGGGATGYAGAATGGCTCCCAAGGCTCAGACCTTCACAAACCTTTATCTCAGTCCCATGAAGCAGAGAGAAAGTAGGCATTATTGAGGCAAACCCCTCTGAGCTATGAGCCCTCACCACACCAAACTTGTGTCTCCCAGACTGAGACAAGTGGCATTTTCCTACTGATTTCAGGGAGAGAGAAGAGAGGTTTTAATATAATGGTTGTGTGCTGACCCTGGGGAGATCCCTGCACACTAAAAACATTTGAGAAGGCAACAGGAMTCGGGAGAAATGAAGCAGCTAGGATTTGCACAAACAACTTCTACCATATGAGCAGGCCCAGGATGAAGCGAGACCACAATAAAAGCATTCTAGGCATGGAGCCATRTCTCAAGACAACTGAAAGCAGGGGAGGGAAGATGCAAACAGATCCCATCTCACAACCAGTTCCATAGCCAGTTCAGACTATATCAAAGTTATAAGGATGGGGCTCTGAGCAACCTGGTCTGGTGCAATAAGGGAAGAGATGATCTTTAAAATGTCCTTTCCAACCCAGACCATTCTATGATTCTGTGATATGCCTTTAGCATTCTTAGTCTTATGGCAGAAAAGCACAATATATACATGAAATCTATTCTCTGTATTTTTGCACCTTGGCATTATGTCTGGTTTATGTATTACATGTGTCCCATGCAATATGTAGTACATTCTAATATGCATTTTGTACAGTATGATGCAAGGCATTAATGGCTGCCTTTGCTTTTATACACATGCAGATGTGTGAATGCAGAATAAACACCTAGAATTAAAATAAAGAAGACTTTTCCTTGCAGGAAAATTTGCCAGTAGAATCTGAAAGCATCCATTTCCCTTTCTCACCTGCTGGCAGCACAAGAAACATTTTTAAAGTTAGGTGTAAGGCAGAGCTGACTGAAACAAATGAAATGATCTGGGAAGCAAAACATGCATTTGAAGATAGAAATCTCTGGTCCCTTAGCAAACCCGGCACTGCAGGCCAAGCTATGCATATTTTGCATGGCTAGCACAAAYTGCTCCCATAAAACCAAGTGTAAAAACACTGCTGTCCCTTCYATCCATGAAATCCCAGGAAATGGCTCGACCAGTACCAGAGCAAAAGCATCTCTTCAAGGCTTGCTGTTTCTCCCCTCATTCAGAGAGTCTGGAGGATGCYGCTGGCATTGTGCAGATAGCTCAGGGAAGCTTGTACCTGTGCCAACCTCAGTCTCAAATGCTGACATGCTCACCCTGGGGCATTTTCTGCCTGTGACTTGCTAAACCAGCGCGATCTTCGCACAGCACAGGTGCGGAGCTGTCTGTGGTCAGGATTTCCCTGCCATGTCAACAAAAGCCCAACATGCAAGCTTCCCTCAGCTACACAAACGCTCGATTAAAAAAAGCAGCGGAGTCAACAGCTCTCACGTGCCCGGATACAGAGCTGGGTATCTGAAGCACAAAGCACATCTCATTAAATGCTATTGTGTGAAGATGAACTCTGCAGATAACAAATGAATTCACTCAAGCRCGCCTTGCATCGGAAGGCACTTACCACTATGAAGATTAAGTTGGTGCTATAAAAGCCAATTAACACCAGGGCACAGGCATAAATAAGGCTGAGATAAACGAAAAATAAAGAGAATCTTCACCAAGCCTGTTGATTGCTTTAAGCCTGTTTTTGATACACGATGTATGGTTACAAGTAGCAAAAAGCTTTTAGATTTATGCACCTTTTTTTTTTTTTTAAACACAAACCAGGAGGATCTTTAGCATGCCAAGGGTTGCAAAGAAGGCAGACATCTGCTTGCTGGCTCTCCCCTACAGCTGCAGAGCTCCCTGTGGTCCTGGCTGCAGCGTTTCCATTATTCAAAGGCAATGGCATGGCAGGCGTGACTGATCCCACAGCCAAGGGCACTGCGCTGGCACAGGGACTGAGGGCACGGCTCGAGCCAGATGTTTAYAGCCCCTTTAACTGTTTACTCTGCTGAATCCTTCAGCTGAAGTACTGGCAAGGGCTTCTCTGCTAGTGGAGTAACAAGGTTTGGTTTCRGAGCAAATGTTGGATTAAAGCAGTCATCAAAAGCAGAGAAGGAAATGCACAARGGAGTGGGGATGACAGCTAGCACTCCACGGAATAAAGCAACAACATTTCTGGCTGCACACAGTAATGAGAAACAGCAAATCAGGACAGAAGAGCCCATTATCACAATCATTCTGTTTACGGTATCACAATTCACAGTCTGGCGTGTAAATGCTGAATAGATCCAGCTGCTTGTAGGAAGACAACCGTAACAGCAGCTTGCATCTCCGTGTCTGGACCCAGGACAACAAAACCCATCACACCTCTGTCAGCATTTTCTTCTCTTTATATCCCTGGTTATTGGGAGGAATGAAGTTGGAATATTTCATGGACTCCAGGTCTTCTGCTTCCAGGAATTCAGATTTGCTGAGAGACTGATTACTGTCCCCCTTCTTGGGCTCAGAGAAGGGTGACTGTTGCTGGCCACAGGTGACATGGGTGTACTGGCACTGCTCTTCATGATCAGTCTCTCGGTGGTAGAAGTAGTTGAAGTTGGACACGATGACAGGGACAGGCAGGGCAATGGTGAGCACACCAGCGATGGCACACAAGGAGCCCACGATCTTGCCACCAATGGTCATGGGATACATGTCCCCATAGCCCACGGTGGTCATGGACACMACYGCCCACCAGAAAGCATCGGGGATGCTGGTGAACAGGGAGTCAGGGTCATCAGTCTCTGCAAAGTAGACAGCRCTGGAGAAGAGGATCACCCCGATGAAGAGRAAGAAGATGAGGAGRCCCAGCTCCCTCATGCTGGCCTGGAGAGTCTTCCCTAAGATCTGCAGCCCCTTCGAGTGCCTGGAGAGCTTGAAGATCCTGAAGACTCTGACCAGRCGGATGACTCTGAGGATGGCCAGGGACATGGCTTGCTGCTGGCCCCCATTGTTGCTGCTGCTCCCGGGCTGTTGTTTCTGCTGCTGCTGCTGGGCCAGCTCGGTGCCCAGGGTGATGAAGTARGGGATGATGGCCACGATRTCAATGATGTTCATGATGTTGCGGGAGAACTCGGGCTTGCTGGGRCAGGCGAAGAAGCGCACGAGGAGCTCGAAAGAGAACCAGATGATACACAGGGTCTCGATGAGGAAGAAGGGGTCTGTGAAGAACGGGCCGGAGCCGGCGGCAGGGCGCAGGGGCGGGGGGGTCCCGCTCGGCGGCGGCAGCGGCGGCAGCAGCAGCGCCTCGTCTCCGAGCGGCACAGCCTCCCCGAAGGCGGGCTGGGGGCYCTTGGGCTCCTGGCGGAACTCAGGCAGGGTCTCCAGGCAGAAGATGACAATAGAGATGAGAATGACCAGCACTGAGACGATGGCGATGGCCCGGGCCGGCCCGGAGCTCTCGGGGTACTCAAAGAGCAGCCAGACCTGGCGCTGGAAGTGGTGCTGGGGCAGGGGCTTCTCCTCCTCTTGGATGAAGCCCTCGTCCTCCCGGAAAGTCTCGATGGCCTCCTGGCCCAGCTGGTAGAAGCGGATCTCCTCCAGGAAGATGTCGAGGGGCACATGGACCGGCCGGCGCAGCCGCCCCCCGGACTGGTAATAGTAGAGGATGGCGTCGAAGCTGGGCCGGTTGCGGTCGAAGAAGTACTCRTTGCGGAGCGGGTCGAAGTAGCGCACCCGGCGACTGGGGTCGCCCAGCAGCGTGTCGGGGAAGATGGAGAGGGTCCGCAGCTGCGTCTCGAAGCGCAGCCCCGAGATGTTGATCACCAGCCGCTCGCTGCTGCAGCAGCTGCCGCCGCTCCGCTCCTCGCCCGGCGCCTCCGCCTCCGCCTCGCCGCCCGCCCGCGGGGCCGCCAGCGCCAGCGGCTCCTCCGCCCGCATCTCGCCCGCTCTGCCCGGCGCTGCCCTTCCTTGCCTGCCCTTCGCCGCCCCTCCGCCTCGCCCCGCTCGCCTTCAGCGCCCGCCACCCGCCGCCATCCGCCTGTTGCGCCTCGCTGCGGCCGCGCTCGCCCGGCGGCTCCGCGGGGCTCCCGGCGCGGCTCCTCCTCCGGCCGCGGGGATGGGGGCACCGCGCTGCCGCCGCCGCGCACACACACAGACACGGACAGACACACAGAGACACGGACAGACACGCACAGACACACAGAGACACGGAGAGACACACAGAGACACGCACACACACGCAGAGACGCGGGAGAGAGAGGAGGAGAGGGAGCTGTACGAGCACACACGCACGGTGTTACACACGGGGAGAGGGGCACCGCACGGATACAGAGCGACAGAGACACGCRCACCGCGCCAGCGCCGACACGCTCAGCTACAGACGGATGCGCGCACCCGCGGACGGGAATGCTCGCCCCACCTCTCCCCCCGCCGCGGAGAACGCAGCAGTCCCAGCCGAGGGGCGCCGGCTTTTGCGGGGAGACCCCCGAGGGGAAAGCCGCTTCCGGGCTCAGCTCTCCGGCCAGGAGCTTCGCAAGAGCTGCTCCCAAGAGCGGCACGGCCGCCGCCCTTCTTTCCCCCACCTGTCCCCCATGGAAACCTGCCCTCGTCCCTTCTGCCAAACCCCTGCCAGGGGCTGGCCRGCACCGCGGGCTCCGGGCAGGGCTCGGAGCTCAGCCGTGGGACCGGGCTGACCTCGGCKCTGTTCCCGTCCCCGCCGCAGGCTGGAGTTGACCTTGAGCCATTCGCTCCATGCCTGTGGCTCGCGGACCTCCATTTATAAATGTCATTGCTGTGATGCAAGCGCGACGGTGGCATCGGACCATCCACAGATGGAGACAACCTGTCACGGTAAACAGTGCTACTGGGAAAACACACAGGTAAATGCAGTTTCTCTCYTCGTTTGGGGCAGATCGAGTTTGCCTCTTTTCCCACATACCGAACMCGTGAGATTGCTCATTTTTTTTGTCTACCACCACAGTCAGCACTGAGTCTCCCCAGAATCAGAACCTGCATTTCACAAGCAATCAGGCTACCAGCTCTTCTGGCTTTAGAAACCTGTGGCTTGCTCTGTCTCTGTCACRCTCGGCTTCTGAAAGCGGAGAGAAACTCACAACACTACTTTCTCCTGAAACACCCCGAAAATGGGGCTAACAGGTGACTGTTTCCATCCCTTCCCAGGACAAAAGCCTGTCTTTCCCTTGAAAGYCCTTTGTTGGTGCTAAATGTTATGAACTAGGCTTTTATCATCGCAGCATCTGATGCCTTTGCTGGCTGCAAGCCATGTGCTTAGCCTACACCATCTCTTAGCAGCACGGATCTAGAGGAAAGCATTTCCCTCTTTACCCCTCCGCCCAGTCCCTCCTAACTAGCTGGCAATTCCTGGGTTCAGGCTCTGGACATTTTGACCAACTGACTAGCTGCCTTTTTTGGCTCTGTTCTCAGGAAGGAGGTGAATATGATTTAAAGTCACTTWATGCCTTTTCGTTTCTCACACATTAGCATTAAAGACGGCTGTTGCAAAAGAAAGATTTTTTTTTTCATTTATAGGGAGATGACTGTCACACAAGGAAGCATATTTTTGTTTCATATTATACATAACTGGGGTATGGCAGCCAGATGAAAAAGACTTTGCTGGAGAATATACCTATTCCTTTAAAAAAGAACAAAAAAAAAAAGGATCGATGTTTGCCTTTATAACAGTAAAATGCTTCTTGCTGAAATTTCTTTTTCAATTATTACAATGAATTATTCATTCCTGGGATTATTTGAATCATAATTACGATTTTTTCATTTGCAGGGTTAACTACTGAGAAGTCCTTTCAAAACTGCTTTTGGGAGGGATGGGAAAGCTCCTGAGGTTTCTAAGAGGACACACAGGGCATGTCTACATGAGGGAGCTCATGCTGTGCTGGGTTTGAACGAGCAAGCTCCAGCACGGTTTGCAGGACCATTTTCCAGCCCACACAGACATTCCACGCTGCCACAGCTCTGGGCTTCCCGTTACCTGGGCAGTGCTCCAGACAGCAGAGATATTCCCTGCATCCCACCCCTTCCCACTCAGCTGCCTCCTGCCACAGCCCAGCTCCAAGCAGGCACTTGGGCTGCTCTGTGCCACCTGTGCTTGCTCCTGAGAACCCTTCAGAAGCCACTGACCTTCTTCAGTCTGCTCACAGTGAAGCTCAGTCTCTTTATTAAATACAGAAAGAAGCCTTCATGACGTGCCACTCAACTCTTTAGCACGCAGCCTGTTCCCAAGCCGCTCTGCACCACCGTGCCTGTGCAGCCACACCCCACACTGCTATATTAAGAGGCAATGCCAGCTGCCACAATTCAGCCTCCATGCAGGTCCTTCTGGGCCAGCAGCTCCCAATGGCACCAGTTTGCAGAGATGGAGGTGAGGAACACCTGGAAGTGTACATGGGAGGGACAAGAGGTGAACCCCAGAGCAGCATTCCCAAAAGCCACACTGCTGCACCATGACATTCCCTGGAGAGAGATTTGGGGGTGGCTCTGAAGCCAGSACCATGAGGCCAGTGCCACCTGAGGGTGCCACTAAGCTTCTGTGATCACATCTCCAAGCTCCAAGGTGTGGCACCTCACTGTGGTTCAAGAGTTTACGACAACCACATCCTTCCCCTGCCTGTATCAGTCACCACTGCCGAGGTGCACAAAAACCCCTCCATTGATACATACATGGTGAAAATTGCTCTGGCTAGCACAGGACACCCAGTTCTGGKTCTCATTGTACTCCAAAAGCTGGAGGACCATTGCTCTCCCAAGCCTGGTCCATACAGGCACTCTCATCTGCAGCAGAGCTCCATTCTCTTGGATGCCTTATGCACCCCCAAACATAGCTCAGCATTTTGGGGGCATCAAYCAAAGGGATTTCCTTTAGCTCCCTTTTGCAGGATTGGATGTGATCAGCATGGCAGCTGCCAAAAGTTACGTCTGTGTAGCATTTTCTCAGGAAAGCCAAGTCCAGGGACCCCCAACTGCAGAACTAAGATATCCCAAGTGGGAATCTAGGTTTGAGTCTAGGGTGTGTAAAACTTCTTGGCCAATTCCTTGCTTTCCTGCATTTCCCAGTTAACCCATCTTCTCCTGAACTTTCCAGTTCTCTCCTCCATGACTCCTGTTCYACCCCTGTCTTCTGCTTCCCACATCCAGATCCTTTCCCCAATTATGGAGCTTCTCATCCCCCTAACCCTACTACAGTTTCTTCACCTCATTGAAGCCCAGTGGGCCCCAGCAGCAAAATACTTTTCATATCCCTCTTCCAAAAATCCTTTTGTTGCTGAAGGCTGCCCAATAAGTGCTAGAGATGTTGGCTGACCAGCTGGGCATTCAGCAGAGCAGCTTGACATGCTTTGCTTGTGTGACATCTTTTAACACTCACCCCATCAAATGAAGAAACAAGAGGAGCACCAAGCAACCCTCTGTACCTGCAGTGTATTTTGGTGATCAGTGTACCTCTGAAATCATCCATCAACACCTTAATGAGCAGCCTGGGAGGCACAACAGAACCTCCCACAGACTGGAGGGCCTGGGGTAGGATTCATCTCCCAGGAGCCAAAATATTCCACACATCAAACAAATCCCCACSGTCTAAAAAGAGCAATAGACAGGGAAAATAAAATTTTAAAAAATGCAATAGCTGGCAGAGCATCCCCATTTGAAATGGTAATTTACACTTACGCACAGTACCAATTACAGCCAACTTCATACTTCCCTACTTACTCAGAGCCATAAATCTATAAATGAGAGTGCTGAACACGGGAAGGAAACAGAATTAGCTTGAGCCCTGGAGCTGTTAGGCAGACCACTTGGAAACAGGAGTTCTCCTGGTTTGTTCTCTCACCAGAAACTGGGAGAAACCTGAAGGATGTTTATTAATGTCCTTCTAGGCATCAGAGAACAAACTGCTACGGCATCAAATGTTCATGGATGGATTCCTGAGTGCATTCAGCCTCAAGAAAGAAAGAAGAAAGTGTAGAAGAAAGAAAAAAGTGTAGGACTGAAACATTACTCTGCATGTYACAGAATGCTAGACTCACTTAGGGTAGGGAAAGAGCAGTGATTTCACTGAAAATGGGCAATGAAACCTTGGCTTTCCCATTTGTGTTACTCTGCAAGAGGGAAGAAAATATACAAAGAATTCTCAATTTGTGTAACTGCAGATCTCAAAGCACAAGGTGAGGAGGTTTGGGCATCTAACAATACCCATGTATCCATCTCGTGCAGTTTCATCCATTACCCCAATGAGCAGGGATAAAAAAAATCCCAGTTCTCTCAAAATAGAAGTAACCCTGATTATTCTCTGATGGGAAACCATCCATCCTAGTCACAGGAGCCCAGAATGGCCAGGTTTGGAAGGAATCTGAAAGACCATCTCTCTCCAACCCCCTGCCATGGGCAGGCCATCTCCCACTAGACCAAGTTGCTCAGAGCCCCACCCAGCCTGGCCTTGAACAATCTCAGTCACTTTGAAAAGGATGCTTGTGCCACTGCTGACTGATGGGGGAAGAACTGCACTTCCATGAGGTGAAGGTGACAGTCCCACTCCTTGGATCCACCCCAGCTATTCCTGGAATACTGTCTTTTCTGTGTGTTGAATGAGAACAGGTTCTGTAGTGGTAAAAATATACCATGGTGTAACTAAAGATTTTGTCACAATAYTGGGATAAAGGGAGGAGGGGAAGAGAAAACAGGTTGTGCCAGAGAATTTCACACAAGGATTTCCTSACTTTCAAGTATTTACTTCTGTTAATCAAAGTGCCTGTAACACTGTGTTTGTCTTGGGTTTTTCCCCAAAATTCCCTCTATAGCTGAGTAACTTGTAATCCTTTTAAACCCCTACTTTTAAATCCCTTTAGTRTTTCCCATGTAAATATGTTGCATTTTTTTCAGATGCCCTTTCACAGAGAGACACTGTAGAT